TAGTGTGTGTGTGTGTGTGTGTGTGTGTGTGTGTGTGTGTCTTTACAAACATTAAATTCAGTAAGGATCATTTTACCATCTAGCTTCCACCAAACTGGGCAACCTGAGGTAAGTTTCACTACTCCACTTGCAAACATAAGGCGAAACAACAACCAACGCACGGTCCAGAATGTTACAACATCACTTGGGGTGCTCGATTTTCCACGATAAGGATACCAAAATGGTGCAACTATTATACATAGAAATCCAACTTCCAATAATAGAACATCCCTGCAAATTAAATGCAAAGTTTGATATCTTTTCATATGTCATTTGAATCATAAAGGAACATATGTTACAAATAATTATAAATCTAATAAATTTATAATAGTTGTAGATATTTGAGATTATCAAATTATAAATAAGAGTCATGGAACTCACCATTGAAAGAACATAAATGTTTGACCGATCTGGTATAAAGAATAATACAGAGACCATAGTCCTGCAAATATTGGTGCAATGCAGAATCTCTGCGAGATAAACCTACAATTGAATATAATTTTAGACATCAATGATATTACAATTTTATAATAAATATAACTTTCATATTCATAAAATAATAAAGTTTATAAGATAAAAAAGACTTAAAATAACTTTTACATATTACATGATCGATATTTTTATATTAGAAAAATATTTTCTTATTATTAATTTCATAATTTGCAGCATACCCAGCAAAGGAGAGAATAATTCCAATAAGAGATAGAACATCCAGCATATATTCAACATTTAAGCCCAGATATGGCGCAAACCATAGAAACGATGGTTTTTGCTTCAACTTATTAAGTAATGGTCCACGTGCCTTGAGATCCAACTCTGTTCTGGCTGGGAGGATCCCATTATCGCCATACAATCCTATTTTATATTATTAATTAGAACATCATTATAACATTAAATCTTGAATCTCTTTAAAGTAGATATTTATATATCCCAAAATAAACTTCATATAAATCTTTTATTCTAAAAATATAAATTACGCTTTAAGATTACAATTTACAATTTGAGCATCAAATTTCTGTTATGCAATATGAAAAGATGCAATTACTCGAATATTAAAATAGAAATGAGATTCTGTCAACATATCAATAGGTTTGTTTTTTATGGCCAATGTACGTGAAATAAAATAGATATAGACGTCGAAATTTAGTTGAAAGCAAGAGAAGAAACTTTAGTACAATCCAATGCAGCAATAAAATACAGATCTAATATATCGTTGCTAATCGACTCTCATCGTTTTTTTACACATTAAGAATGTTTTCGAATGTTTTAAACGGAGGAGGACGGAAAATCTCGTAGTGTAAAGGAAAAAAAAAGCTCATACGGTCGGCAGAGAATGAATTTTACCGAATTTCACTCACCTGGGATCTGTACGTAGAAACTGAGGAATGCGAACAGGTATATGATGCAGATCCCGCGCAGAAACAGGTTACGGGTGTAGCGTACTTGCGCCATAATCGCGATCGTGAGTGCCCGGCACTGTTTTATGTGAGAAAGTCCGCATTTAACGCGCGGAATAACGCGCGTCCGTGCGTAATGCACCGCAAGATAATATGCCGGGTAGGATACGACGGCGACACACGCACACAACGTCGAATAAAGTCGGGCGACCTTTCGAGCACAGGCTATCAAAACACCCGCATACACCCATCATACACGCGCGCGCGTGCGCGCGCGCGCGCAGATCCACGCACACCATACACACACATACACGTGTAAAAAAAGGAAATAGAAAATCAACAGCGAGCAGAAAGTCAAGCCAAGCCACTTTACTATGTGTTTGGTTTCCAAAGAGTGTGATTTTGGATTGGTTTCGCCACCATGCGTACAGGATGTCCTGGAAATAAGAAAAAATATTATATGAAGTTTGACCTGAAATTTTTA